CTCGTACTCACTCGCCTGCCCGTGCGCGGCGTGGCTGCCGAGACTCGCGTTGCAACCGAGCACCACCAACACACAGTGCCCCGAATCGCTCCCCCCCCCCCCCCCCCGCAGGGGTGTTTTGCCCTCCCTGTCCCGCCCAGCCCACCTCGCTCTGCCTTAGGCCCGGAAGAGCTGTCCAATAACCGCCTGCACTCACGCCGAGGGTCACTCGGAAGAGCAGAGAGGCGGCGGCGCGCGTCAACCAGTCGAGCGCCGTTTGCGAAGGCGAGGCATACGAGGAGGTTTCCACGACGACCAGGTCGAGTTTCTCTCCTTTGACAGCAATGAGGTGCGTAGGCGCCTCTAGGCTCCGTTGGGACGTGGTGTAAGAATGTCTGAGGGCTGATGTGTGTGATCTCTGAACTCATGAGACAACACAAGGGGGTTGGGGCTTGGGCCCCCTAGTCTGAAAACAAAAACAAACTCGAAAACAGCCAAAATCAGCCTGCGAGAGAGGCACTGCGCGCCGCTGACCTCATGTGGGGATGTGTGCCGACACCACACCCAATACCTTCTCCCAGTGGGGCGGGCCTGCGCCTGGGGCTGGGCCCCCGGACCCCCTGCCGCTCTTGTGTTCTGTTTTCTGTTTTTCTGTTTTTCAAAACGCCCGCCCGCCCGCGTCATTCCCGGAGGCGGCTCGGCCCCCCACTGTGCACTGACCGAGAGATTAAAAACGCTCGGCTCAAGAGTCTTCTCGCGGTTATTTTTGTGTTCTCTGCATTTCACTTTTCAGATTTCACTGGTGTACTACATATACACGTACGATGTGGACTTAACTCGCGCCGCCCCCGGCGCTTTCGCGCTACCGCCCGCTACAGGGGCCGTAAAGGATATAGGGCATGGTAGGGGTAGGCTCTATACCGCCGTGGCTCTACACCTCATACGCCCGCACTACGGAGGCGCTAGCCGCTAGCGCGCTACTGACGCAGGCCTACTCGCTACAGAGTATATGGCACCGCCGGCGAGGAGTGGACCTTTGCGAGCTACGTGCAGCTGGCCGGCACCATCGTCCTCCTTTTCGGCACGGCGGTGTACAACGGCTCGGTCCCTTTGCCAGGCCTGGGAGACCCAGTCCCGCTCAAAGAGACGCTGCTTCCCTCGGGAGTCGCCAAATCCTCCGCCGCGTCGCTGCGCCTCTCTGGCGCATTCCAAAACAACTCAGCGCTGCTGCAAAAGACGGCGGCCAAGGAGGCCAAGCGGCTGAGCCAGCGCTGAGCAGTGTCGTGCGTGCGCGCGAGCCTCGCGGCACGCTCCCTCCAGTACCGCGCTGGCTCAGCTGCTTGGCCTCTTTGGCCGCCGTCTTTTGCAGCAGCGCAGATTTGTTGGGTAATGCCCAAGGGAGGCGCTGCGGGGCTGGAAGCCCTCTCCTTGCGTGGGGGGGACGGCGGATTTTTTACGGCGCGAGCGACACCCGGGGGTGTGCTCAAGCTGCTTTTTGGCATGCCCCCCCCCCTACCAAATGTAATGGGTCCGGACTAATTGACAATTCTTCACCGCCGCTCGAGCACCGCCGTCGCGCCCCGTGACGTCTCCCCGTACTCCGAGTCGAGAACGCGTACAGAGCGGGAGAGTCGAGAGAGCATCCACAGCGGTGCAGCCTCCGGCCAGACATAGAAAGAACAAGAGGAGGAGAGGGACGGAGGCGAGAACTGCGGCGCGCCAGTCCCCCGCGTAAAGAACGAAAGAAAGAAAAAAGACAGCCCAAACGAGAGGGGGGGACGTGGGGGAGGAGGACAGGGTAAAAAAAGAAAGAAAGAATGCAGATAACCCAAGGGAGGGATGGGAGGACGGCACGCCAGCTGGTCGATGTGCAGAACTGACTGCTTTGCACATTGACCAGCTGGGACGGCGGCTTGCAGTATTACGGCGGCTCGACCAGGGAAATGCTGCTGGGACGCTGCCCTTCTAGTCGCCGCGCTGGCACAGGCCACCGGGCAGACTTGGACGGGAACCCTCACTCAGGAGGGTTGGAGCGGCGGGACTTGCGCCGGTACCCCGATGCCAAACAGCACCACCCACAGTGCTGTCGCCATGAGCGATGGCTGCGCCTGCTTGTCCGGCACAGACAGCAACGCGAATGCCTGGATCCAGAAGTCGTGCAACAGTTGCGATGGCGCCTCCACCACCTCGGTCGATTGGACACTCGGGTGCAACGCAGACTGCTCCGTCTGTGATGGTGTTTCTGGCAACACTACCTATGGCGACGGAGTTGACATGGCTGATTTCTTCACCAGCGGCGATTGCATTGGTTACACGCACGTGCCTCCATCGACGTTCGTCTTGGACAATGGAGGCAATGCGTCGAGGTCGTATCAGTACTTGTGCCTTCACGGATGATGCTGGCGCTGGGGTCCCCTTCGGGTGCATCGTGAGACAGCTGACGACGGGATTTCCACTGGTTCATCCTCCTCTGAGTCGTCTTCCCCGGCTTCCTTCCGCTCGGCTCTACGTTCGGTACGTTCGGTGTGGCTCACCCTCCATGCCGTGAACAGTCGCTTTATCGACGCTATATTCTTCTGTCGTTCCATTTTATGGCAATCGAGGACAGGCTGAGCGCGCAAAATTCTTCCTTTCGGCCCCGCGCATGCAGGGCTTCCCGTTGCGGACTCCAGCTCCAGCGAGGCGGGATCAGCAGGGCTTGCCCCTTTCGCGCCAGGCCAGTGGCTCGCTCCTGTTCCCAGGTGGGTCCGGAAATTGCTGGAACACGGGATCAGTTGAACGAAAAATCATTCACCGTTAGCGCCTCCCCTGCACGTGTAGGATCAACCCCGGGAGCGCACGCATCGCCCACGAGCTGCTTCAAATCGCCCGCCCCCTTCTCCACGGCGGCCGCCTCGGGCGCCGCCTCGCGCTCTGCCTTTGAGCGCTCAGCCGCTCGCACGCCCGGTGAATTCTCACCGCAATACGTGCCGAGCGGTGCCTTTGCGGGCGGTGCCTCCGAGACAGTGCGCGGCCAGCTCGACGCGCCTCCTCTCCAATCGCTCCACGACCTCGCTCCGGGAAGCGGCGACGTGTCTGCTGCCACCTCGCAACCGGCCCCTTCCCTCGCTCCGTCTTCCCTCGCTCCGTCTCAGCCGGCGTCGAGCGAGGGGGGGCACTGGGTGACCATCTTTGGCTACCACTCGGTCGCGATGGTCCCCCAGGTGCTTGCCCTGCTCCGTCCCTCTGGCGGGCAGGTTGTCCAGCAGGCCACGCTCTCTAGTGACACCCGCGAACTACTTGCAAGACAGCACGCTGTGTGTGCCCTTCAGCCCCCTCAACCCCCCCCCCCCCCCCGCCCCCTGCGCGCGCGCACAACAGGTACCCGGCTCGGGGGCGTGGCTGCACCTGCGACTGGCGACGTGGCAACAGCAGCAAGAGGTCCTCGCCCGCCACGGCGCCGTCCTCCACGGCTGTATGATTGGCGTCATCGCTGGCGTCGTCCCCTCGGGGTCGATGGGTGCCTCGGCCGCCGCGGCGGGCCCTTTCCAGCCCGCGGCAGCGGCGG